AAAGCGCGGAAGGGGCGCAGGGACCCATGGCGCACCAGGCGGAACGGTAAACAGGGGGATATTGTGGCCTGGATACGACAAGGCTGGAGTTCCCAAGGGCCTGGATCCAACAGGGTTGAATTGGTTAAATTGCGTTGACCCAGGTGCGACGGTTGCTCCTGGCGCTGCTGGAGAAGCTTGCGCTGACGTGGATGGTGCTGACGTTGGTGCTGCTGACGTGGGTGCTGCTGACGTGGCTTGACCCGTGGATGAACCCATAGGCGTCGGCGGCCGAGGGGCGCCTTGGTTGTTATCCATGCCGACCGCGACCGACGCGATGGCGAATTGAGACTACAAAAACTGAAATTCCTTATGGTTGTACGTATGTTGGCGATAGATTTCGATAAACTACGATTTCCATCCTATCAAACCCTAAAACAAAGTGCAGAATCCCTCTGACTGACACCTTTGGACCGCCCTAACCTTCGCCACTAGAATCTATCACGAAAGCGATGAACGAGCACCTAAAGCGCTTGGAACTGCTACGTCACACTGGAAACGACCGAACCGAAACTGGAAATCTCAAGGAGCTTGGGCAACGCGAGCCTCCTAGACTGGCGGATGCGCAATGGTCCCCTCTGCCCTGTCTCTGACCGATCTTGAAGCTAACGTACCAGTCGGAACCGTTCACTAGGAAGGAATATGTACGAGGTGCGAGCTTTTATACATTCAAACTCTCGAACTTACACTAAGATGCGCTAAATATATAATATGATCAGTTTAGACTGATTGTGTATTTCATGTGAATATATATATATATATATATATTGGTAGGTGAAAGTGCATTATACAACGTACAACGCAAAAACACCGTCGGTCATAACCGGTGCTAGAGGGCCTAGGTACAAACAATCATACCGTACCCTCGCGGATCTCTCTACGGTGGTTTATATATCAGATGCCTAAAAATTGCAGCCTGCCCGCTTCAAATTCCAATTGCATTGTTGTCACAATTCAGCTCCGTCAGAATCAGAGGGGAGCAGTTTTGCCACTTCTGCTGTTTCAGGCTTGTTCCAGATGTGTCCTTCCTTGTACGTCTGACACCACTATTGATTGGAGAAACCTTCTGGCGAGATCCGAATGCCCTCTTGACTGCACCCGCCCTCTTGATCTGAATGCGACGGTGAAGATCGGTTCCAGTATAAATGGCAGGTGCAGAAATGTGCGACTAACTGCTCCAAGCTTGTCAAGGGTCGGTGAAACAAGTACCGGTACTTCGCCATCAGTAGCTCTTTCTCTTCGAAGGAAAACACCCAGATCTCCACTGGGAAGACTTCCCAAAGTTTGTAAACCAGCAACGTCTTCTAGTTGCAAAGATAGTTCCTGTGTTTCCTCGTCAAATTCTCTTGACTTTGTAGATAAAGCTCTCTGAAGAACCTCAGCCTCTGTTTCCTTTCTCCACAATACGTCCAGAATCTTGGTAGAAGAAATAACTTCCGCTTCAGTAGCCATAGTTACGAAGGCCAAATCTGGATTATCCCCCGTCGTATATTTCCTTGCTGAAAAACTTTGTTCTGCCTTGCTTCTCGTAGGTGTATGACGCTGCCTTGATTGCCGTTGAATGACTGAGAAAACTGATAATTTGAAAACATTTCGCCGAGTAATTTCCTTTAATCTGTACTTCCAGCCTTGAAAAACCCCGGCATTAAACTTCTGATGCTTTCTTGATGGTCGCTCAGCAGTCTCTTTCCTTGACCTTCTGCGTAGTTCATTAGCTGAAAAACAGGATCTTGCAGGAGCCTTAACGACGAACCGATGTTCTCTGTGTGAACACTAAATTGGTGTGGATAGAGTGCTCGTGCTGAGTAGACCCCGAAAAGATAATCAGATCCTGAAACTGACAATGTTAAGGTTGACATTGTAGAGCTGAAAGGTTCCTGAGTGGAGGGATCGCGATCCATGGCGGAGAGAAGTTGTCAGCCTGCTAGCTGTTGTTCTCGGGACACAGTGAAGTGGAGTCGGCCGTGGGTTGTATAGACTGGAAAACTACAGAAATGCCTGCACTTGGTTGTGTTTCTTTAGTTCTCCCGTCCACAGCCTCGTGTGAACGGTTTTTGACAACCAGGGCAAACTGTCGCACACACGGATTTCCTTGCTTTGGATAATTTATATATATACATATGTATGTCAAACTTATATGCTATAGTCTGTGTAGGCTGTAGTGGGGTAGACAATATGGGGTACAACACTTTTAGGTTTTCCTACTTGTACCCACCTGTTTCCCAGTACATTCATTCCTCATTCCTTCACATGGTATAGAGCAGGTTCCCTAGTGGGAACGTTTCCTAGGGCCCACCGAAAATCGATTTTTTTTTTTCCTGCCCGGAGCGCGCTTCGCCCCTGCCCGAGTCGCGCCCCGTGTGCCTGCCCTCCCGTCGCGTCCCCTGCCCTTAGCGGCCCGTCGCGCCCTCTTACGGCCCCTCGCGGCCCCTTAGCCGCTCCCTCGCGGCCCCTCTCACGGCCCCTCGCGGCCCTTTCGCGGCTCCCTCACGGCCCCTCGCGGCCCCTCCCACGGCCCCTCGCGGCCCCGTCGCGGCTCCCTTGCGGCCCCTCGCGGCCCCTCGCGGCCCCTCGCGACCCCTCTCACGGCCCCTCGCGGCCCCTTCGCGGCCCCTCGCGGCCCCTCGCGGCCCCTCGCGGCCCCTCTCACGGCCCCTCGTGGCCCCGCGGCCCCTTCTCAGCCGCTGCCGCCCCTCTCACGGCTCCCTCGCAGCCCTTCGCGGCCCCTCGCGGCCCCTCTCGCGGCCCCTCGCGGCCCCTCGCGACCCCTCTCGCGGCCCCTCACGGCCCCTTCGCGGCCCCTCGCGGCCCCTCGCGGCCCCTCGCGGCCCCTCTCACGGCCCCTCGCGGCCCCGCGGCCCCTTCTCAGCCGCCGCCGCCCCTGCCCCGGCCGCAGCAGCCACCGCCGCCGCCGACAGCAGCTGCCGCCGCCGCCGACGGTAGCAGCCGCCGCCGCCGCTGCCGTGTCCGCCGCCGCCGCCCCTGCCCCGGCCGCAGCAGCCGCCGCCACCACTGACAGCAGCAGCCGCCGCCGCCGACAGCAGCAGCCGTCGCCGCCGCCGCCGACACCAGCAGCCGCCGCCGCCGCTGCCGTGTCAGCCGCCGCCGCCTCTGCCCGCCGCGGCACCCTGGCCCCTGGAGCAGCCGCCGCTGCTGCAGCTGCCCTTGGCCCCTGGAGCAGCCGCCCCTGCAGCAGCCGTCCCTGGCCTCTGGAGCAGCAGTCCCTGCAGCAGCCGCGGAGCCCTCGCCCTTCGGTGGTAGCGGCCTCACCATTGCCGCTGTCGTACTCCTGCCCTTCTTGCCACTGGTGAGCTCTGCTGTTACTGCTGTTACTGCTGCTCTTGCTACTACTGCTCTTTCTACTGCTATTGCTGCTCCTGGCGTGGCCAGATGCAGCTCCAGCGCCGTCCGCGTGAGTCCCTCGCCCCCCATCAGCTTCGTGAGTGGTACGCTAGTTGGGGTTGTAGGGGTGGCCGCACTGCTACTACTGCTACTGCTGCCACTGCGGCTACCACTGCTCCTGCTGCCCCAGGCGGTGGCCAGATGCAGCTCCAGCGACGTCCGCGTGAGTCCCTCACGCCCCAGCAGCTTCGTGAGTGGTACGCTACTTGGGGTTGTCGGGGTGGCCGTAGTGAGAGTCGTTCTGGCGTGAGTAGTTCGGGAGCTGCTTGTAGTGGCCAGGTGCAGCTACAGCGTAGTCCGCGTGCGGTCCTTTCGCCCCAGCAGCTTCGTGAGTGGTACGCTCAGCGTGGAGGGTCACGGAGTACTGCTCGCTGTCCGTACGTCATTCGCACTGGTGCTCGGACTGGTCAGCCTTGCAGGACGTTTGGTCACGCAGAGTCCCGCTGCTTCGCCCGTCTGAGCGACGCCTGGCGTACGGAGTTTGGCGACGCCGCTGAGCTCCCCGACTGGGTGGAGCTGCTTAGGCAGAGGGTAGATATCTATGCTCTTGACTATGATGCTATCCTCACTTCCATGTATGCATTGCCTACTAGTGATGTGGGTGACTGTTACCTGTGTGTTCCACCTGACCCGGGCATTGAGGCTGCTGCTCTAGGTGCTGGTGAGGCTGCTGCTCTAGGTGCTAGTGCGTCTACTCCTCCAGGTACTGGTGAGTCTGCTGCCCCAGGTGCTGGTGAGTCTGCTCTCTCAGGTACCACGTCGGCTCAGGTTTTACACACCTTCACCCTTGACTCGGGTGCTTCCCGCTCCTTCTTTCGAGACCGCACCACACTCACGCTGCTCAGTCGGCCGGTTGCAGTCTCCCTGGCAGACCCCTCTGGGGGTCCTGTCCTTGCCCACTTCTCCACTGTCTTACCGTGTCCGGCGGCCCCTTCTGGCTCCCTGTCAGGTCTTTACCTCCCCTCGTTCTCTACGAACTTGGTGAGTGGTGCTGACCTACAGGATGGAGGGGTTGACCAGTTCACTCCTGCGCGTCAGCGAGTGACCCACTGTACGTGTGCTCGGACGGGCCGACACTTGGCCACGTTTACCCGTCAGCCGGGGTCGAGCCTGTACACACTGACTACTGAGTCTCCTCCGGGTGCTGCGTCTGGTCAGGTAGCTGCGTCGGGTCAGGTGTTTGCTGCAGCGTCCAGGTCTGGTCCTGAGTCTGCCCCCTGCTCGTGTCGTCTCCTGTCTCACCAGACTCTCCTCTGGCACCACCGCCTTGGTCACCCTTCCCTGCCTCGTCTCCGAGGCATGGCCTCCCGTGTCCTTGTCTCTGGTCTCCCCCGGTCCCTCCCTCCTCTTCCTCCGGGGCCTGCCCCTACCTGCGTTCCCTGCGTCGAGGGGCGGCAGCGCGCCGCTCCTCACTCCTCCGAGTTTCCTCCGACAGAGGCTCCGCTGCAGACACTTCACCTGGACGTGTGGGGCCCCGCCCGCGTCCGTGGACAGGGTCACGAGCGTTAATTCCTGCTGGTGGTTGACGACTACTCGCGTTACACCACAGTCTTCCCCTT